ATTAAAATGTCTCTCGATAATACCTATGTCTTTATAATTAATGTTTGAGCTATTAGTTGTTTATTTTTATATCGAACTACTATATACTTTATTCAAATTATTATTATTGTATTTATTATTTGTAATACTATGTTATTTAGCAAAAATGATAATTATTAATATACTATTATTATGTCAATTAACGTATTCTATTAAATCTCTAAATTTTATGTATTATAATAATAGTAACAACCATTTATGCTAAACCCCTTGTCAGTACCTTAAATAAGTTTAATAATCGATCGTATACTAATTATATAGATTAACATCTATTTAAATATTATAAAAAAAAAATGATTTAGTTCTTCATACAAAGCATTTCATTCTATTTTTTAAAGAATCCAATTAAATACGAGAATCTTCTAAAATTTGTTTTCTATTTATAATTCTTATTTATTACCTATAACTAATTCATTATCCTGCTGATGGCATAATATTCTCTTAATATTATTTAAGTTTAAATACACTGTTGAACTACTTTAATCTTACCTTTCTTTCGTTTATATTCTACTGATAATTTGTGCTTTTCAGCTGAAAAACTATTACGCATTATTATATAGGCTTTGTTTTAGTTTTCTTTATATTTTTATTAATTATATGTTTCTTAATCTATGTATATATATATATATATATATATATATATATATCAATAGATAAAAATAATTATTATTAACAATAATTTTATATAAATGTTTTCGAATTATTTCACATACACGTATATCTTTATTATTAAGAAATATTTTTAATAATTATATTAATGGCTATAATTAATTTTTCAGAAAACTATATAATATTATTATAATAATATTAATATAATTATGTAATATATTAACTATGTACTTTGCTTAAATTTATCGGTGTCATCGTGTTAACACTTCTTCAAGGCTACTTTGCATATTTAAAGATCATAAGATTCTTTATCTGTAAGGCAATAGTTAATGCTAGAAAAACACAATAATCATAAATGAAAAGCATAGAGAAAAATTTAAAGTTTATTTTTTATCAATATTTTGATATTTACGTATTATTAAAGTAAAATTATATTATATATATATGTATTTTTTTTTTCGTGAAAAATGAATATAAGTATAAATCTAAAGATATTATTAATAAAATTTGAAATTTTAGTAATTCTCATTTCACTTTAAAAAATAGTTACTAGAATATATTTTTATTGTTATATACTTTGATATAAGATGTATTGATTACAGATATTTTTGTAATTCACATGACAGTCTTCTAAGACACTTGACTATTTACACAGTTTCCATATCAAAATTGTTATGATGATTTTAATGTTTCTTAACTGTAAAATAAATAAAAATATGGTTATAATTAAGCATTGATTTTAAGTAATTCTTCTAGATTTATTTTTATATATCGATATTCTATATATCGAGATCCAATTATTTTATTATGCAAATGATTCGAATGTCCGTCTTGAATTCGTCATTTGCACAAACTAAATTATCACTTCTATTTCAAATATTATGTAACCTTTAGGCTTTATCGCGTTCTATTAAAAAAAAAATTACACATATATCACCAATCGCTCGAGCATAATGATATTAAATTATTATATTCTTACTTCTCATTAAATACTAGATTTTGAAATTTAAATTAACAACGATCTCACGTGGAAATGGCGTGCCTAAAAAATATCCTTAAGGCGTTTAAATGTCTATTTACCAAATACATCCATATAAGAAAGAGGGATGTTAATTTTGTAAAAACAATATAATGCTTCATAGCTCATAAAATTCAAGCATCTTGGCTTTCTCTCTCTCTCTCTCTCTCTCTCTCTCTCTTTTTTTTTTTTTTTTTTTTTTTTTTTTTTTTTTTTTTTTTTTTTTATATATCTTGTAATTTTTGTTATTACGCGCAAATGTTAGCAATTTAAATCAGTGGAATAAGCGCGTTTAAGACTACTGTTTGTTTGAAAATAAACAAGTAAATATAAGTGTACCAATAAGTCACTGTAAAGCTATTTGGGCATGGTTTAGCAGTGCTCTATGACATTGTTAATTGGTTTGAAATAAACAACGAGAAAAATGAAGAGCGGGCTTAAGCTAATTTAGATATTGTCGAGTATGTTTAAAAAACATTTTCAATCGTAATAAACGAAACGACGCGATAATGTAGTATTATAATTTTTTCAAGATATAAATTATGTTTTTCATATAACACATATAAGATTAGTTTAACTACTTCGAGTTGTGTGCTCGTAGTCGATTGAACGTTGGTGAAACGCTTTCTTATTAATTCGCTGGCTCGCGCCGTAGTCGCCAATGTATTTCACTGGATATTGGAGTGCGCCGTTTTCGAAGCTCTTGGAGCTTTTAGAAACGGCCGATTATGAAGTTAGGGCTGACATGTCCCCAATAATAAAGTGGCGTATTTCACGAGAGTTCCTCGTTTCATCCGTTTCCGGCCGAGATCTATCCAGTCGCCAAGAGTGAGCCCGACACATTGAGAGAAAAGCGAGCATCGCGTATCAGCTGGTGTATTAGTCACGGACTCGCGACGTCTGGTGGATTATCGGCGAGCGAGCTGATGAGTCGTTGCACTTGGATATTTCCGCCTAGTAATAAGTGAGACGCCGATTGCGTTGTAAGCTCGTGTTACTGTCGCTTTCGATCGTGCCCAACAACAAATAATAATTTGCCCAATATGAAAGCGTAATTCAGGCTTTCCGACGACGTGCAATACTGCTCCAACACTCCAACCTCGTCTTGGCGTCTCTCTCCATAAGTACTTGTCGTCGTTTTCATTTCTAGATTCATGCCGATAGATTTAGTAGAGCCTCGCCGACTGTCGTTATTCTATCTCTTCGCCATCCATCTCTATGCTTCGCCGTTCTTCTTTTTTTACATAATGTTTTTGATGAACTGGGTTTGGGGGGGGGGGGCAATGCTCTTATCAATTTTTAAAGCACAGCTATGTAAAAGGAGCTTTATCAAATTTCAAACAGTGGGACTTCGCTTTTATCCATTTTATTGTAAAAATAATGTTGACGAAATGTTCATAGAAAAGATGCACAAACTGATTTTTCTACCAATTTATAAATAACGATTTCTCTCTCTCTCTCTCTCTCTCTCTCTCTCTCTCTCTCTCTCTCTAGCAATTATTATTGAAAATTTTTAATAATATCATTAATTTTTATCATTGTCATAGCTTCGAATTTGTAGTTATATCTGTAATATACAAGTATTCGTGCAATATAAAAATTGTTGAATGTTATAAAAGTTATCGAGCTTTTATATAAATGCAACTTATCGTAAATAAGTAAATAAAAATATATTGATAAGAGTATGCATGATTTTAATTGTCTTGGCTCCAGACATATCGAAAGGAATTAAAAACTTTTAACTGACATCGATGTTAAATTTAGTATGATACTCGAGTTCGGGACGAAAAAAATCAAATAAAAACAAAAAGAAAATGAATGCATTTGACAGTTTAGTATTAAGCAAGATTGAAATGCATCAATAATTCTCAATAACTCAAATTATTAATTAGATTAATCATAGAAATAGAGATTGTCGATTAAAGGTAAAATACCTTATTTATGAGAAAAATAAATGATATTATCAATAATGATAAAAGCATTGATATATTCGCTCGAAATAATGAAAGACGAACGACTAATACGCTTCGAAAAGATAAATTAAACTGTTCTTCAATTTGATAGGCTTATTAATTTACAATCGGTACGACAAGTCGAAGGATAAAAGTCGATATTGCAATCCTTGTAATCGTGTCACCCGGTGCCACAAGCTCATAACGCAAGTATAGCGTATAAGTTTTATGCTCTACTGGATACATAAAAGCGCCTTTTCACGGAATGTTACGTAGTACAACCATTATAATAATAACAATAACAATAACAATAATAAAAATAATAATAATAACGACTTTTCAAACCTTAAAAACCAAATAGCTCAAGAGAGAAAAGTAATTTAAAACATAATGTCTTTGCTCATAATTAAACTCTAATCCATGCCAAATGAGATAAGGCAATGCATCTCGCTCGAGCTTTCAATTTTATAAATTAAATTGTACGTCGGATAATAAATTAGCGACGACTAAATAAAACGTCGTCCGCTCGACCGCCAACTACTAATCCCGCTAATAAAGCAATACTCTGGCATTCGTCACCTATTAATCGAATAGCAATCGCGACAAAGCCTAAGGTCGTTTTGCTTAATTAACAACACGCACGTGTGTGCCATAATAATACACCGTTTTTTACGTTAAACAATATCAAAGTGATACGAAAGACGGTGGTTCATAATCAATATACAAGCCCTCGATCGGCGCTAGCTGTTGGCCTTCGTCTCAAACGCCTGGGAACTCCAGTCGGTTATGTCGCGTTTTTCTGCTGGTTGGCAAGTAGTTCCCATTCCGGCCGCTCTCAACTGCCGTCGCTAGAAACGAGCGCCTCCTTACCGACCGCAAACCAACCACTACATTGGGAGAATCCAGCCGGCGACGGCAATTCATTTAGCAAAGAGGTAAACAAATCCCGAGAGCAGCGGGATTATATTATATTAATAATAAAAGGGCTTGTGCGGAATTCTGATAAGCGAATTATGTGAAGAACGCTAGAAAGACGACAGCAGCAGCAGCAGCAGCAGTAGCAGCAGCAGCAGCAGAGCGGCGGTGGCTCTTCCCCCGTACTAATGACAAATTATTAATTCTCGATATGGCAGCGTCCTGACTCCCGTACAAGATAAAAGAGAGCATCTCGACTCTCGAGAGACACGAGCGGAGAAGAGCAAAGACTACGACGAGGAGCCGAGAGGCGGCCACGTCGACAGCCCCACCGATAGCGTCAAAGACGGTCCGCCTAACCGGCCATCTCCACGCCGCAGCCTCCGCCTTCACCGCCGCCGCCACCACCGCCACCGTCACCACCTCCATCGCCACCGTCACCACCTCCACCGTCACCACCTCCACCTCCACCACCACCGCCACCGCCACCGTAGTTTTGATATTCGCAGGCACGCCACTGCTGCCGGATGCACCATGTTCCATAGGTCGTCGTCGAATCGGTTGGACGTGAAGAAACTCGCGTTTTGAAAGATAAGTGAGGTGAGCGAGTCATCCGCCTGCAGCGTTAACCTTTGGCTCGATACGTTCGTCGAGATTGGAAGGGCACCGCAACATCGCGACATTGCGACTTGACGACTTATCTCGTCCCTGCCGGACCTTCGCGTCTTGTCCCTCATCATGGCCAGTAAGTAATAAACGTTAGCCCCAACGTACTTATCATTTCTGACGGCTGGGAGCCAGAAATTTTCGCCAGCGGCTGCCGTTTAACGGTACATCCGACCATTCACCGCAACCCTTTGCTTTATTCACAGTCAAATTCCTCGAGGTCATCAAGCCCTTCTGCAGTATTCTGCCGGAGATCGCGAAGCCACAGCGCAAGGTGCGTATCTTCCAATTCATGACATATGGCACTTACTTAAATTACATTCACGCGGTCCTTTTAATTGTGAAATGGTCGGTGGGCTCGATTTAACCAGTAAATAACGGTTAGTCGAGTCGGCCTGATGCGCCGTATGCTAGTAACGGGGCTTCCATCGAGCCAACATTTTTAACCATCTGGCTAACTAATCGCGTCGATAGAGCATGATGCTTTGCTGACCGGTCGACCTAATGTAAATAAATTTTTTTCTCTCCTTTTAGATACAATTTAGAGAAAAAGTACTATGGACTGCCATTACCTTGTTTATTTTCCTAGTGTGCTGCCAAGTAAGTAATTAATATTAGGAAGCGCCGACGGCTCTGTCTGTATCAATCTGCCGTATCGTGCATTCCAAATCACTGACATATGTGTAATGCTTTTGTAGATACCTCTGTTTGGAATCATGTCCTCGGACAGCGCGGATCCCTTTTATTGGATTCGTGTCATTTTGGCTTCCAACAGGGGAACGTTAATGGAGCTTGGTATTTCGCCTATCGTGACATCTGGCCTCATTATGCAACTATTGGCTGGTGTTAAAATTATCGAAGTTGGAGATACGGCAAAGGATAGGGCCCTATTTAATGGGGCTCAGAAGCGTAAGTCAAGCATTGATTAATGCCTGAGCTAATTATACCACTACTATGGTCGTAAGCTTCGTTGTTGCATGTTGTTATTTGTGCGATTGCAGTATTTGGAATGGTCATCACAGTCGGACAGGCAATTGTCTACGTAATGACAGGAATGTATGGCGACCCAGCTGAAATTGGAGCTGGAGTATGTCTCTTGATCATCATCCAACTGTTTGTAGCAGGACTGATTGTCTTGCTATTGGATGAATTATTGCAAAAAGGCTATGGTTTGGGAAGTGGTATTTCTCTTTTCATCGCTACCAATATTTGCGAGACTATTGTTTGGAAAGCATTTTCTCCAACTACTGTTAATACAGGCCGTGGTACGGAATTTGAGGGCGCAGTCATTGCCTTGTTTCATCTTTTAGCAACGAGACAAGACAAAGTTAGGGCTTTGCGGGAGGCATTTTATAGGCAAAATCTTCCAAACTTAATGAATTTATTAGCCACGATCTTGGTATTTGCCATTGTGATATATTTCCAGGTAAATATACATTCACTAATCAGTTTTAATCGAATAATTTTATAATCTTGTAATTAATATTGTGTAGTGTCAAAAGAAAATTGAAAAAATACTTCCTACTTTACACGCTCTACCGGACAATTGTAACATGGAACTTTCGTTTCGACTTATGACAATATGATTGAAAAAATTATTTTTATAATTTTCAGGGATTCAGAGTGGATTTACCAATTAAGTCAGCGAGGTATCGTGGTCAACAAAGTAGCTATCCCATTAAACTTTTTTACACGAGCAACATTCCAATTATCCTGCAATCTGCGCTGGTCTCTAACTTGTACGTCATTTCTCAAATGTTGGCCGTGAAATTTCATGGTAACATTATTGTCAACCTGCTTGGAGTCTGGTCGGATGTTGGTGGCGGTGGCCCTGCTCGATCTTATCCCGTCGGTGGACTATGCTATTATCTCTCCCCACCTGAATCCGTAGGGCACATTGTACAGGATCCTGTACACGCTGTTCTCTACATTCTTTTCATGTTGGGATCCTGCGCATTCTTCTCAAAAAGTTGGATTGAAATCTCCGGAAGCTCCGCTAAAGATGTATGTATTCATATAATATTTTATTCAAAAGTAAAATTACACGTTTCAACCCGGACGTTTAATTCAATTTGAAGGTTGCAAAGCAATTAAAGGATTCTCAAATGGTAATGCAAGGTCATAGAGAAAAGTCTCTGATTCACGAATTAAATCGCTACATCCCAACTGCAGCGGCATTTGGTGGTCTTTGCATTGGCGCTCTTTCGGTACTGGCAGATTTCTTAGGTGCAATTGGTTCTGGAACTGGTATTCTACTTGCCGTTACAATTATATATCAATACTTTGAAATTTTTATCAAAGAACAAAGTGAAATGGGTGGTATGAGTACATTACTCTTTTAAGACTCATGAAATTTTGTTGAACTTAAAGTGAATTTTGTATTTTATGAACTGGAAAATAGTTTAATGCGAAGAAATATGTTAGGCGTTATTTAAGAAGATTCGCATGTTAAGGTGGGTACAATAGTAAACTGGCATGAGATTTGTGTTCTCGTGTAACGACTGTAATACTAATTTCATTTTCACGAATTTTCATCATTGTTACAACATAAGAACGTCATTTTCGATGTATATTTTTTTGTACGATGATGATAATCTCGCTGAAAATTTGACAACTGATAAACTATGCAAGGGCATAATTTGAAAGTTACTAAAAACTATCCAATGACAGTGTACATAGTTTCTTTAGAGGTATAAAAAGATGTATTTAGTTCTATTTCAATCGTAAAAGAAATTTTATAAATATTTCTATGTTAAATTAATTAATTTGGCTTTGTTAATAATTCATAATATGCTCATAATATATTAATAAGAATTTTTTAATTTTGTAATCGATTAATTTGGCAAAGTAACAAAACCTTTTGAACAAATTTATTGAACTGTTTTTTAATTTCCTATAATACATATTGTATTATTAACAAATTTTCTTTACTATATTTGTTTTAATTTTGAATTTTATGTTATTAGTTGATTCTTAGACAAGAAAGCAATTTTCATTATTCCTAAATGTTATAGAACAAAGACTACTTTTAGTACAATTTCAAGAACAATATTGTCTAAAATATTTATTTTCCTTATCTTATTTCATTACCGGGCATAAATAGAAATTATATAAATAAGGTATATAAAATAATTTTATTTTTGAGTTCAAAACAATGTTTAAAAAAAAAAAAAAAACCACAATACAAAAAATATTGCTAATTAAGCTACATTTAGCAAAAAAAATTTTTATCTTTTTACAAACGCATAAGGTGCTTAAGTGGGTAGGTATTTTTAAATTTTGAAGTGTACTTGCCTATTTATTAAAAAAAATAAAAAATAAATTTACTTAATTACATAAAAAAAATTATAAGCATTTATCCTAAACAATATATTTCTATTGACATGAAAACCAATTGAGCAAGACCATTTTACGCATAATATATACTTTCTAAAAATAAATATTAAATTTTATTATATAAAATATTAACGTAATGTGCGTATATTTCTTTAAACATTGAATATTAATTTGAAACAAATCATTTTTTAATGAAAAAATTTTGTTTTCTTTCTTTTTTATCTTTTTTTTTTTTTAGTAATTTTATAAATAATTTATTTATATAAAAAGTTTCATGAGAAATTTATGTTAAACGTTAATTATTATTAATTATCAGTTTATAATAATTGTAACAATTGTTTATAAGTAATTATATTTTTAATATCTGCATTGTGTAAAAAAAGCACTTATAATTAATATAAATCCTTTTTACAAATATTTTTTGAAGTTTTTATAAACGATGTTTGTGAATAATTAAAGTTCAAATAAAATGAAATATTTTTTTAATTATGTCAGTTGTTCCCATGCATGTAAATTATATACATTTTAGGATCAAAAGTAAAGGATTGTACTTAACATTAACACATACAGTCGTGAGTAAAGATGTTATCACTTTACACATTTCGAATTTGAGCATATTTGTTGAAGACATAAATTCTTTTTTTAATTGGTGGAGGTATTACAGTAGTAAGACAAAGATGATAAAAAAAAAAAAAAAAAAACAATTTACTAACACATCATTTTAACTCTTTATTAACCGTTATAGAATAATAATAATGAATAATATCAAACTTTAAATTATTAGCCGTAGTATCGCTCAATGCTTGTTCAATAAACTTTATATTATACCTGCAGTTTTTCTTAAAAACAACGATGCAATATAACGAAAGTTAATTGTCGCGCCCGCACAATAGTCATGGCTATTCTATATTTAAATTTGAAATGAATACACATACTTACACATATATAAATATATAACTAATATTTTATGACAAAAATAAATATGAATTAAAATAAATAATAAACTCTGTATACACTTTATGATTTTTTTTCTTCGCTATTATCGATCAAAATATACGCCTTCAATGACATGGCGAATCTAATCATGAATGACACATGTGTAACCAGCTTATTTTATTTGGTGTTAAGCACACTTTTGCAATGTAACAAATTAACATTATAACTATATGATTGATCAAGTTGAATAGAATTTAATTTAACGAAATATTCAACGGATAAACATCAGACAATGAAAACATTAAAATTATGTATTTAAGGTAAATGAAAAGTTATACAAGAAATGTAATGTCTATTGAGATGTTACGTTCATCAGTAGGCGTGCGAATACTGAAAAGGAGAATACTTGGAAAATAAAACTGGTGGGTATCATAATTTTTATTCAATTCTGTAAGTTCTATTCAATACTCTAATATTTTGGCAATAATATTATTTTCAATAATTAAAACAAGCATAAGAATATAAACGATATTGTTTTATAGCTTTCCTTATTATTATACATAGTTATTTAATGAAGTTCTTTATTATTATTCAATATAAAATAGTAATTGAAATCTATTTAAATTGAATAATCTTATTAGCAAAATACTTTTCGTATTTATACATATTTTCATTTATATTCATGCTTAAGCGAGTATTTTCTATGGTTATTAATATTAAATACACATGTCGGTTTTCTCTTTTCATTTAACAGAAATTCTTAAATGTTTTCAAATACGTAGAATTGTGAATATAATTGTTAAAATAAAAGTTTTATCCTCATTTTCAGCAAATTTCAGTCTTATTAAATTAAATGCGACAATCCGATTAAAACACAAAATAAAGTTAAAAATTTAATTCTTTTTCTATTATCTATTTGTTATTTTAAATTTTTATTTAAATAGATTCATTAAATATAGATGTTCTAATAAAAATTGATTTATAATAACTATATATGAATGATATTAAATATTATTTAAAAATTTCTTATTATATACGCTCATATAATTTACGAAGATACACATTTATGTTACACATGATCTATAATCATTTAATTTTTCAAAAATAAAATAACATATAATATAAATAACTGAAAAAATTTAATAAAAATTGTTGAATTAAAAAACATGCGATAATCAAAAAGACTTGACAAACAAAATCTTGTGCATATATATATATATATATATATGTGCGTGTGCGTGCGCGCGTGTATGAAAATGTTATCTTTAAAATAGGTTCTTGAATAAAGATAGAATTATCTGTAATTAAAAATACAAAATAATTTATAAATAAATATTGAAATTAATTAAAAATATTAATTACATTTTCAAATGTTTTATATTTATGTAATTAATTGAAATTAAAAATTAATATTTAAAATATATGTATTAATTTATTAATTTATTAATCGAACGCTATTAAATTTATTTTAATCTTCATCAGCCTTAATTTTCATTATACTAAGATTTACAGCATTTCTAAAAACAGTAAATGCTATAGCGAATAAAAATGTATTTTCTATTAATAACTTTGTAACAATGCTTGAAAAGAAAATTTTCCCAATAATTTTTAATAAAAAAAGAAAAGTGAGATCCGCAATACTAGAACAGGTAAAATATTAATTTTAAATGTTTTACTAAAATTTTCTCCCTTACACATAACAGTCCAAACATAATACTTTCAAATCTCGAATTCTTATTATTATACAGTTTTCACCTTTCTTCAACTTACCCGTTAATTCATTATCATCAGATTTTTCATCGTTGTAAGGCGAAAACCATTCCACCAGTAGGTGAAACTTTTAAATCTTGAAGGTGATTTGTCGACTACACCTTTTATATTTTGAATTCTGCAATTTATTGGATGTTTCCTTAAAATTTAATTTTTCTGTAATATTTCAAATATTGTAATGCGACATTGCGAGCAATAAAGTAGATATTAAAACGGGAATAAAGTACATTAAAATCATAAATATTAATATTTTTTATACAATACATAAAATATCTATTGTATTAAATGGGAATTAAATTTTCGTTATTATTTAAAAATATGGAATTCAAGAGATTTTTATATTTATCTTTTATGTCTATAAAAGGTTGAGCTATTTGATACGTCATTTTTACCAGATGGAAAACCGTAATTTCATTCCAATTATCTGCTGGAACTGAGATATTGGTTTTGTATCATTTTCATTAATAAAATTATTATTCCCACTAATTGCTGTTGGATGGTTTTATAAAAAAAATTGCATTATTTCATCTTGAATTTGTTACTCGTTATAATTAATTTACTAAACCTTAATTGTGCTTTGAACAATGTCGTTGATTTTATTTACTGTATTATGGGTTTCTGAAGAATTTGAAACATTCCAACCATGTTCGTTCGGTAAGTTTCATTTATTAATATTAAGTCGCCGATACAATTTCCAAAGCTTAAATTAGGCGTAAATGAAGATATTGTATTTTCCGATCTATGTTGAAGATCCAGTATATTATAGTTACGGAATTAAAAATTGCCAGTATAATCCATTAGCTCGTAATTCCACAAAATGATATAACTTTCTATTAAAAAAATTTATACATTTCAATTTTTTAAAATTATTCGTCCTTTTAAAGTCCGTTTTTCTTGCAGTGCATCACTTTGTGAGACAAAACAATATTTTCTCTCGTAAA